CACATGTCAGTGTCATCAAACCAACATGTGATGCACCCCGCCCCCCCCCTGCCCCCGGGCCTAACCTCGCCGAAGTGACAGGATACCCGGTGTCGGCCACGGCCGCCCCTTCCTGGACACAGGCCCCGAGCGCCTTTTCCTCTCAGTGACGCCTTTTCTCATCTTCGGTTCTCGACCGGAAGCCCCTTCGGGAGGCGTGCTCTGCACTGAGATGTGTGAGAGGCTGCAGCCTTCCTGTGGCCCAGGACTCCAGTTGTCTTGAGGTAAATGCGTATTTTTGCTCTGACCCCTGAATGTGCTACCTAACGTGTCACCAGAGATTAGGGATGAGGATGCACTCACCAGGAGAGATCCTAGGAGGGGCCTCCTGCGGGGCAGCTGCTATTGTTTTAATAATTGGGGGGAGGGGGGCTGGATGGCTGGTGTGGCTCAATGGATAGAGCCACTGGACTGTGGCCTGTGGACTGAAAGGTCTCAGGTTCGATTCCCGCTCAGGGTACATGCCCGGGTTGCAGGCTTGATCCCCAGTAGGGGGCATGCAGGAGGCAGCCGATCCATGATACTCTCTCATCATTGATGTTTCTATCTCTCCCTCTCCCTTCCTCTCTGAAATCAATAAAAATATATTTAAAAAATAATTGGGGCCCTAGCCGGTTTGGCTCAGTGGATAGAGCGTCGGCCTGGGGACTGAAGGGTCCGGGGTACGATTCCGGTCAAGGGCATGTACCTTGGTTGCAGGCACATCCCCAGTAGGGGGTGTGCAGGAGGCAGCTGATCGATGTTTCTCTCTCATCGATGTTTCTAACTATCTCCCTTCTCTGTAAAAAATCAATAAAATATATATTTAAAAAAAATAATTGGGAGGGGGATGGTGTTTGTTTTGGTTTTGGTCCACTTTCCTTCCAGAAAAGCAGTGATGAAGCGGGGAGAGGGGAGAGGCGGGTTTACTGGAGGCCCGTCAGGCACTGTACTAGGCACTCGGGGCGCCTCCTCTTGAACCTCGTCGCCGTCTGTCCTGTTTTGGTGTCGCGTCCACTTTGCGTCGAAGAAAGAGTCCGAGGTGCAGAAGCTGCTGAAGACCATTCAGAGCTGAAGTGTCAGCACTGAACTTGAGCCCCAGAGTGTCAATGCCCGAGCCTGGCGACTTCCTTTATTGGTTTTATAAACAGCCCAGGAAGCGGCCCCAGCCCATCCGTTCTCCGTCAGTGTGTGCACCTGCCAGTCACACGTGCCTTGTAGGTGCGTGTCCACACGGTGCTGCTAAACTACCTGGGGTGATGGACCCCCCCCTCATCCACCACAAACAGTACTTCTGTAAAGTAAGTTAGAAAAATTAAGTATTTTTTAAAAAGGACACACCAAGTACAAGCCCCTCCTGGTCTTCAGAGTCCCTCCAGCCCGGGTTTTCTCTGCCAACCCAGTCCCCACCCAGTGTGGGGGTCTGCACTCCCGCCGACAGAGCTGAGCGGGAGGGGCTGGATCCCTCGGTGTCTGCGAATGTCCGAAACGGAAACACAGCCACACGTACCAGTCCCAGGCCTCGGCGAGGGAGGGGTTCAGCCAGGCCCTTTCTGGCTTGTTCTAAAGGAAGCCGGTGTGGCCCCCCTGCCTCCTGGGGGGAGGGGGTGCTGGGCACCTGCCCGCTGGCATCGGGTTGGAGCTGGAATCCTGGCCTTGACCCCATAACTGAGCTGTGTTCGCCCCAGAGACCTCCTAGTGAAGGGGCTGGCGACAGGGATGAGCCGATCATCTCAGCACATCACAAGCACGCGGGGCTACGGGTGAGGGTCCCCTTTTCTTTTAAATTCTCTTTAAAAAGTTTTTCCTATTGCTTTCAGAGAGGAAGGGAGAGGGAGAGAGAAACATCAATGATGAGAGAGAATCATGGGTCGGCTGCCTCCTGCACACCCCACACTGGGCATTGAGCCCCAACCCCGGGCATATGCCCTGACCAGGAATCAAACTGTGACCTCCAAGTTCAGGGGTCAATGTTCAACCCCTGAGCCAGGCTGGCCGGGCTGGTTCCCCTTTCCCGGGAGCCACTGCCTCACCCCGGATGGGCTGCAGGAGACACTGCTAGGAACGGCCCGCACCTGCAGCGCCCACCCCAGCAGCAGTGGGGAATGCTAACCCGAGGGGAGCCCCAGCCAGCGGCCGCTTAGCGTGGCCAGCGACACAGCTGCCTCCCTCCCGAGCGGCTCAGGCTCTCGCGGGCTCACCGGCGGGTGGAGCTCGGTGTGTGATAGTCGTCTGTTCTGCTACGGCTTTGAGGAACGCTCACCTCTGCAGCCACATACGCAGCACAGCACCGTGGCTCGTTCCCTTTCCCGCCGTCAGAGGAAACCGTCCCAGTCAGTCATGGAGGCGGCGATTACCAACTGGGGCTGGGAGGCACCTGGGCATTTGCAGACCTCGGGAGGATTACACAATCCTCAAGTCAGTTAATGGGAACTCACTTCCATCTGCTTTACATGGCACCTGGGGGGCAGGACGCACAGGGGCCTCCTGAGGGGCTCCGCCCACGGCTCCCACAGGCCGGACCTGCTCGGACTCATTCCAGGGGAAGCACTTCCGTGGGTGTGGCCCCTTCGTTATCATTTAGGAAACGGTTGGAAACGGTGTTTATTTTTATCTCGGCAGAGCAACTGCATTCCCCAAACGGCGGCTTTCCCAGTGAAGCCATCAGGACTGTAAACACGAGAGACACCGAGTCAGTTCACACGTCCACATGCCGTACGTTAACTCGCGGCGAGGGTCGCCTGCCGCACGTGTCTTTATTTCTGAAGTCACATAAGCACAATAAATACATTGGATTTGGAAAGGTCACTTAAGATGAGTCATGACAATCTACGGTACAGTACGTCTCGGTTCAAGTGCAAAAATAACTGTTTGCTTAATTCCACTTCTTTCCCTTATTATTTTTAAAGCTGTGTTTTGTGGAGCCAGATATCCACGCGTGGGATTTCTCCTCCCCGTGCAGTTTTGGGCGGACGTAGGTTTCATGGAGCCGCTCTTACTCTACCACTGGCCCGTGTAACGGGGCCAGGGGGTAAGCGAGTGGCTCCTCTTGACCGTCCTTCCCTTTCCTCCTCCTCCGCTCCCCGACAGCTACTATCCACGCGGACTGGCCCTCATTCCCCTAGCGGCTCCCTTTCCCCGGGCTCCCCACTTCCCGGGGACCGAGGCTGCATTGTTAGCAGCGAGCTTTGCGCGAGTCACCGGCCGTGGCCCCGACAGTAGTGGTATGTTCACAGCAGCAAGCCCACAGCCAAGTCCAGTGTCTGACTGTCCCCCACACAAAGCGAAAACCCACCCCTTACATAACTTCAAAAGCCGTATCCCTCCCCCAGGCACTTACATGTTATACTGTTACTTGGAAATAGCACTGCTTCGCTAAAGAAACCCTTAGGAATTCAGCGAGTAAGAGAAAACCCCGCCAGCCGAGTCGAGCCTGAATCACCAGGAACCGTAAAGCCTGGTCCAGGCGACTCGCAGCATCACCCTGGCCAGCGCCCCTCGCCTCTCGGCCCAGGACACGGAGGCGCGGGGTGGTCTGGAATGTTCCCTGCTCTGGTCCTGAAGCCCGTGGAGAACAAACGGCCTGTGGACGCGCCGCTCAGGGTCCCCGAGCTCTGCTCAGGGGCTTGGCTGCTTTCCCGCCTTCCACGCAGACATAACGCCCCTGCAGAGCTCGGAGGGACTCCGAGGCCACGCTCCTGAGGACTCTCCTTCCTTTTCTTAAACAAAAGCACAGCCGCTGCTCACTGTCACCTGCTCCCTGGATTCTTTACGCACCATTTCCAAAGGGTTCTCTTCAAGAGAAACAGAGAGGCGGCTCTTCCTCCCGCTCGCATGAAGAACCAAATAACGAATAAATAATGAGAAGGGACACGCCCTCAGCGCTCACCTCCCTCCACTTAGTGTGACTCTGCACCCCGACCTACCCCAACCCGCCCGTGAACGGGAGTCCCCGCGAACCCCACTTCCTCCCGCCACTCCAGCGGGTTGTGGGTGGAACAGCTCCTGCCAATATGCATGGTGGCTACATGTGTGTGTCTCCACGCCGATGGTTCAGATACTCAGAAGCGTGTGGCGCGATGCTCAAGGCGGGCGTGTTGCCGGGCTCGGGATGCCTCCCCGGTCCCCGAGGCCCCGGTCCATGCAGGGGTGAGGTGGGCAGGGCCCTCAGGGTCCCCCAGTTGCGAGGCAGGGCCTGCGGGTCCCCACCCTCCTCTGCACGCTGGTTGGAGCTGGGGTGGGCGGAGCTGCTCTGCGATGCTGCTGATGGAGGGGGCGGCTGGCTGCTAGGTGGGTCGGAGGGCTTGTCACGGGGGGCGGGCCGGGCTCCAGCAGCGGGCGAGTCTCCCCGGTTCTCACTGGTCCCCTGGAAGGAGAAGAACGGAAGGAAGGCGGCTGTGGTCCAGCAAAGCACCTTTTCCGCACGCTTCCCCGTGAGATGCAGGCACGGGAGGGCATCCGGGGACCGCTCGGGGGCCAGGAGGAGAGGAGGGGAGGAAAAGGGCTTACCTTACATCTCTTTTCCTGTGTGCAACTGCCAGAGCCGCATGAAAAACACAAACACTGTGAGCAGACAGACCTCGTGGGAAAGGAGCATCCCTGTCCACACGCCTGCCACTACCAGGGCGCCATGGACATCGCACAGATGTCGGAGCCGCCAGCCGCGGCGAGTCCCTGGGCTAACAACGTGGGGCCTGCGGCCGGGCCTCCTGCTGAGGTCACGCACTCACCCCTGATCCCTACAACCAGGGCACGTGCTTTAAACCAACCACACACGGCTTTCCTCTGAGCCAGTGCTGCCACTTCACATAGCTGGGCGCCACACAAAACGCTTTATTTCTGCGATTGATTCTAAAATGTAAAAACATCTTAGTCATGGCTTCTTCCTAAGACTGAGCCATACCAGCAGCTTTTATTAGCATAAAATGTTATCATGCCAGAAAAAAACTGTGACGGTCCTTAAGCCTCAGAGGCTTTGGTGAAAATGAGGAGTTAAGTACCCAACGTAATGAAAACTGTTTGTGCAAAAGCCATCCTTTCTAACCCACTCATCTGCTGGTGGGCACTTAGGCTGTTTCTAAATCTTAGCTATGGTGGATTGTGCTGCTATGAACATAGGGGTGCCTATGTCCTTTCTGATTGGTGTTTCTGGCTTCTGTGGTACATCTACACAATGGAATACTACGCTACTATAAAAAGGAAGGAACTCCTACCATTTGCAACAGCATGGATGGACCTGGAGAGCATTATGCTAAGCGAAATAAGCCAGTCGGAGAAAGATAAATACCACATGATCTCACTCATTTGTGGAATATAATGGACAACATAAACCGATAAACAAAAACAGATCCAGAGACAGAGAAGCATCAATCAGACCGTCAAACCCCACATGGAAGGCAGGGGAGGGTGGGGGGAAGGGGGAGAGATCAACCAAAGGACTTGTATGCATGCATAAAGGCCTAACCAATGGACACAGACACTAGGGGGGGGTGAGGGCATAAGCAGGGAGGTAGGGGGGACAATGGGGGGATAAGGACACATGTAATACTTTAATCCATAAAGAAAAAAATAATGAAGAGAAGATGATGATAGCAAAAAAAAAAAAAAAAAGCCATCCTTTCTCCTGCCACACGCCCAGCCTCACAGCGTTGGTGCCCTGCCCACCGACGTGCTCCTTCCTGACACGCAGGGGACCCGGTGAGTTTGTGACCTTCAGAAGGAGGGTCATGCCTAGGCCAGAAGGCATCATGCTTATCAGTGACGAGGAGGCTTGGTTTAAATTACAGAAATATTATATGTGAGTTTACAAGGTCGTGATAAAGACGGTTCCAATCTTCTAAAAAGGAAGCTGCCCAATGGCTCTTTGTGTTTAAGTCTTTGCCCTTCTCTTTTCTGACGTGGCCCCTGAGGCTATGCCAGACACGGGACGGCCGTGACCGACCCACCGGGTGGAAGGCGGTGAGTGACGCCGGCAGGGAGGCGGGCCCATTGCTGTGGCCGGCTGCCCCAGGCGCACACTCAGCCTCCCCCAGAGGCGGCTGGCACTCAGTCACCCAGTTTCATCGACCGCAGCCAACTCCGCTCAGGAGAGACCATACCTCTAAGGCAAGAAAATCACACCTGTTACTTTTCACGTGAGGCCCCAGCGAAACTACACTTCCACCGACTTAATGTTTTCATCAGCCCACACAGGCTCAGTGTGACCACTGCCTCACCAGACCCCCTCAGGGCCTGTTCCTTAGCCTGTGCCCAGAGAGTCTCAGAATTACAGGCACATCTTCCTACTGCGGCTGCAACCCATCGATACTGAGAATTTAATGCAAAATCAGAAGAAGATGTGTGTTAGCTCCAGCAGGCACAATGCCCTCTCCAGGAGGCTGCATACACCTCCACTACACACCTGTCACGGAGCAATGAGACCCCCCCCACAGGCCTCCCGCAAACCCGGAGCGCACAGCTGATAGAGGGCCTGCCTAGGGGCGGGAGGCCGGCCGAGGGGCGCTACCTGCAGAGGCTGGATCTCTGAGGCGTGGCTCTCCCTGGCGAGCAGCATCATCTCCTTCACCTGGTAGAGGGCGTAGACAAAGGTCACCCAGGGGGAGGCGCTGACGCTCCAGGCGGGCTTGCTGGCGTCCTCCTGCTCCTCCTGGTGCTTGGTCTTCTTGGGTGGGAGGCGCGGCTCCACGCGCGGCAGGACGTCCTCCGGCTGCTGCTGGACCAAGTCGATGGTTGCTATGGGGACAGGACTGGATGGAACCGGAATCCTCTCGGCCAACATTGTCTTGTCTGGAGAGAAAGTCAGGTTCGAATCATTGTTCAGCGTGTTCTACGCATTTGAACAAACACAGAACTAGGTGGGCGAGCCCCCGACCCCCCCCCCCGAGCCCCCGCCCCATGCGTGGCAGCCTCCCTGAGCGGCTGGGTTCCAGGCGGCTCCTCTGCGGACTCGCTGCTGCTGAGCCGGGGGAGTTCCTTTATAGACTGTGGGTGCTGACCCTTTCTGGGCACCCGTGTT